TTTTAAAAAAATTAAATTTAAAAAAAATTCTTATTATTTGTATGCACTCCATAGAAATATAAGATAAATATTATTTAAACCAGAATTATTATTAGTAGGAATAATAAGAACAAGAATAATAAGTATAAAGTATTAGGAATATAAAAAGGGGAACATTGCTTATAACCAGAATTATTATTATTTCCTATATATTGGTATTATGGTTATTGCTGCATTGCTGTTACGCTCTCCCCACCCCCACCCCCTGCAATCAATATAAACCCTCTTTCTTTCAACAGGCAATCTTGCACATTTCACCGTGTTCACACGTATAGTTGGATAAAATTTAATGAGCAGGGCCAAGGAGCTACACAACATCACCTTTAATCAATATTTTCTACAGACGGTGGCCGGAGAATGAGAACTCCTAGGTTGGCCAAGCAATTACAGGCATTTCTAGAGATTTTAGAGCATCATGGGGATTCCTCTAACTGATGCTCCAGATTTTTAATTATTTGTCACTCATACAAGTCAGGAGGATCACAAACTACCCTTTTATCATTCCCCATTGTCTAGAGAATTAGCATAAAGCCACAGAGATGATTGTGTTCAGTCTGAAGGTTTATTCATTGTTAATATTGACCATCATTACCTTGTGACTACAGAGCAAGGTGGAGAAATGCAGCAATACAAAAGCCACCAATCATCTGTCGGCTCTGAGCCTTTTAGTGAACAGTGATAGATAGAGAATGGATTGATACCCAACAACCAGTCGCCATGTCAATGTGACAGTTAAATGAAAAGAATATATCAATGAGTGCTGACATTTTAAAAAGCCGGTTTCTGCATACAGTCTGCAGTTATGTATGTTCATGATGACGGCCACATTTGCTCATTCCTGCTTAGCAGTCCAATGTCTCTAATGCTGGGCACACACCTTAGAACCATCGCAAGACTTTTGTCTTGCGATGGTTGTAAGGTACTTAAAAAAACGTATGATCTGCCTATCTTGCATAGGCAGATCGTACTTGTGATGATCGCAAGCCACGCCCCCTGAGGGGTGGGCTTCCGATGACCGCAATGCCGAACGGGCATTGTGCTCTTGCGCACACCGGCCGGTCCGGCTTTTATCTTACGAAAATGCTACACACCCGCCAAACATCGTACGATGCTCGGCGGGTTTTGAAACATGTTCGTAAGTTTAAAGTCGTGCGACCTTACAGTAGTAGACGTCGCACGGCTTCCACACACCTTACGATAATCGTACGATCGCGGGATTTCCCGCGATTATCGTATGATTATCGTAAGGTGTGTGGGGACCTTAACTCTTCGCTGCCAGTGAAAGTTTACTAGTCAGGTGTGATTGACTGCAAACAGCACACCGACGTCTTGTATGCATGCGTCTATGGGCAAATGCAGCGTGCCTGCATCTGACATCACTTTGGAGATGCATCTGAGGTCATTCAGAAGTCATTGACAGGTGCCCTTGATCTGCAGTTGACTTCCTTCTCAAATGTAACAATTTGCGTCAAGCTGCTTTTGCATTCTCACTGACTTGCATGGGGAGAGAAGCAATGCTGACGTGAACAAAAGCCCAGTCAGGCCAGTCGTAAAGGGTTATTAAACCCTCGCGTGTTTTTGCATATATCTACGGCTAGAAAGCAGGAGATATATGCAAAAACACTAAAAAAAAAAAAAACTTTAAAAAAGGGTTTAAACTTACCTTTGTCTTCGCTGTGCGCTCCCGTCTGAACATTTGAAAATTTCAAGGGTGGCCGCAAAGGATCTTGGGGCGGGCGCATGCGCACTTTAGATGTGTGGCCGGGAGACGAGGAGAGACACAAGGTAAGTATATGGAGCAGCGTGCACCCACACAGACTCCTTGGGACATGAGAGAAGAGAAGGACAGAGGAGTCAGCACTGGATCGGAGACCCGCAGCAGCGCTGGAGGGACAGCTAAAGAAGAAGATGATCGAATAAAGAGGCATCATTTAAGGTAAGTCCTTACAGCAGGATTGGGAAGAGGGGGAAACAATTTGACTTTAATGTCACTTTAAAGGAGTGACATCTGGTTAAGGCTTTTCCCCATAGTTCTCCTTAGGGTAACGGGAGGACACAAACTAGCGTCCTCCCGTCACCCTAAGCTCAGTATACCGCAAGCTACAGCTCGCGGTATACTGAGACGCCGCAGCTGAAGCGTATCCCGACAATTATGTCGGGATCCGCCCAGCTGCGTGAATGACAGCTGGCTCTGCCTATCTAGAGGCAGAGCCAGCTGTACCCCCCCTAAGCGAATCCCGACAATTGTGCCGGGATCTGCCCAGCTGGGTGACTGACAGCTGGCTCTGCCTATCTAGAGTCAGCTGTACCCGCCCCCTCCCCCGTCCGTTCCGCCAGTCAGCGCTGGCGGATCGGAGCGAGGAGGAGGGAATCCAGCCCCTCCCCTGTCACGGCAGAGAGCTGTGACAGGATCGAGAGGTGAGCGAACCTGGTATTTGTTCGCTCACCTCACGATCTACTCAGCCGACCTGTGACAGTCTCATTGTCACAGGTCGGCTAGAACTATGAGGTGAGTGAAAATCACTCGCCTCATAGTTCTCCTTTAAGCTCATCTCAGAAGTCCTTCAAGGTCATACATAAGAATTGGACATGTGACTTTTCTGGCCAATCAGATGTGTTTTTCAGTTTAATGCATCCAAATCGCATTTGGGAGCTTCTGAGTGCAATTCGGGTCTGGGAGCCTCAGCTTTAGTTTTATGTATATATGGATCCCTATGTTGCCGCAACAAATATTTGTTCGTACTACAGAATACTAATTATATATACTAAAGCTGATGCTCCAAGACCCGAATGGAGTCCGAATTTCCAAATAGCATTTGGGAGTTCCAGAATGCCATTCGGGTCTGGAAGCCTCAGCTTTATAGTACAGTATGTATGTATGTATGTATGTATGTATGTATGTATATGGCTCCCAGGCCCACGTTGCTTTCTGAAGCTCCCGAATGGTATTTGAAAATTCGGACTCCAATCGGGCCTAGGAGCTTCAGCTTTCATTATCATATCTGTATACGGTTTTCTGTGGTAGTCGTAAACGAATATTCGTTCGTAAACTCATCCGAAACTAACGAAAATTCAGATTTCGTCCGAATCCGAGACCTCATACCGAACTGAATTACGGACCCGAATCCTGAAAATAGCGAAAAATCAGAACGGAACCGAATCAGATTTTTCCATAGCTTACATGTCTAGTCTAAACTGCCATCTGCACACCGATTTCAGGTCACCGGCTCACTAGGTAGAGAAGGAAATACCAGCATAATAGCCATGACAAAGTCAGCATGGGCAGCTTCCATATTTCTATGCCACTAGGTTCACTTTAAAGCAAACCTGTCAAAAAAACATATAGAGGTTGGCATTGCTGATGTTCGGAGGCAGTTATATTGACTTCTGGATTCAGTGCTTTCTGAGTCACTAACCCGGAACAGGTATCTAGATCAGGAAAGTTACATGGAAAGGTTACAACAACAACAACGAAAGATGCACTTGTGTCCCCCTTACAGATACCCAATAAACCCTACGAACTTTATACACTTCAAACAAGTCCTCCTGTCTATGGGTTCACGTCGATGGGTGTTCTGATCACCTGATGAGTTTGAATTCATGATGGATTCATACCCAACAAAATTCAGCACTGGACACGAAAGGGCTACGTTAGACCTGCTTTACCTGCCGTTCAAAAGCACCTCGATAGGACTTGCTGCATTCAAAGAATACAGCATAATGTAAAGCAAAGCAGTATGTTATGCTAGATTTTTTTTACAAGGCCTATTTCTCTTCTCCAGGTAGATCTGTCCTCAGTCATGCAGATAACCCTGCTGATGTCATTGGGTTGGGCCCATGATAACCTGCACTCACAGTGTGTCCTCAGTCTTTGAGATTGAGTGATGCTGGATGTCATTCAATGCAGAAGACAGAGGACATCTTGTGGCCAAATGGAGTACTGCATGGAGCAGAGCAGAGCAAGATGCAATATCATTTTAATCAACATATCAGTTTTAACATTCCATTTCATAAAAAAACTATGTGAGGCACAGTATCAGATTGAAGGCGAATACTGATGCCCAACCTGCTTTTCTCCCCCCTTTACTCAGACTAGGGGACTTTTTTTTTTAACAATGAGTCTCGGCACCATTTTTTTTTAATGGGACAGTTGATATTTGAATACTGAATACTGACAGAGGACAATTGGAGAGGAAAAAAACAAATCAATTATTACGGTTGGAAGGCAGGTAATATAAACTCCTCATGTTTGTTTTGGGCTAAAATTCCATTTTAAAATGGAACATGAAAACAACATCCTATAGAGACGATCCTTTTCTGAGCCTCGGAATCGGAAGTATTGCAGATCATGGGTTCTGCCTAGACCCACAATAATAAATAACACAAAATGTGCATTTATTACTTTTTGTATTGGAGCCTGCAAAGCATTGCAACTGGGATCAGTGGATGGCAGGGGCAGGAATGTTGAGGCTCCTGCAGACTCTTCCTCCCAGCCCAGGTCTGTAAGGAGGTA